AATGATAATTATTCTATACTAGCATTATTTATCCGCGCATTGTCGGTCTCTTGTTTCCCCACGAGAGAGAAGTTGTGAGAGTTATCACATTCTCTATGAGGGCCCACCTGAGGGATCTAGGTTGCCATACCCTTATTTCTTTGAGAATTCAGCACAACAATTTGAAATGCTCGTATGCCTAGGACTGAAATACATGAATAAAAAATAAGTATTACAACAAAAAATATCCATCAAACTTTAAAAAACTATCAAAACATTAACAAACTAGCATTACCAGTAAAAGAGTGGCTAATTCACTTAGGTGTTGGTGTCCAAGATGAACAACTTTTGACAAGTGTCGAAAACACAAAAGCTATGGTTGCTGCACCCCATGTATACTGACCAGCTCAAAAAGCTGTAAATATATTGTAAGCAATGTACCATCTGTGGAATCCTCAAAGATTGTGCAATCGACTAGATATAGGAGGTAGGCACGGGGTTATAGTTTTGTGCAACAGGGTGATGCAGTTATAGTTTTGTGGCAGCTATCTAAATGTGTTTCTCGACCATGTAAGTCAGATGATATAATGGTTAAACTATGTGGCAACTGTCTTATCATGCGGACTATGTAATCCCCATACTTCTCTACTCTCCTAAGAGTTACAGCTACATCAATCACCCTTAACCGATGAATTTTCTATCCATTGTCAAGAGTATGCATTATCTCTCTGATGCCTATATTGAATTGTCTGGTGTTCATCTCTGCACGCCTCCTCTCAATCATAGTAAACAAAGTGCCATGGTCGTGGTGAGTCATCGCAACTATAGTCAGAGGATACAATTTTGATCTCCTGATCAAATCAATTTGGTCATTGTTTGATAAAAGCCATAAAGTAACTATATTAGCCTTCTCATCAATCCTAAGGGGATTTTCTTGATCCTGAAATCGAATTTGTGATTTCAAATATTAAATAAATAATTTAATTAACCAACATGATAGACAAAATTTATTATTTGAAATATGTGTACATACATCTCCTTCCCAGATTTTTGTGATATATGTTGTCTCTGTCTATTGAGCAACGTAGTAATCTCAAGACCTCCAGGGTAGGGTCCGCCTTTGGCCATGATCCTTGTTTAAAAAACCATCACCAACCATTTTCAATGAAAACACAACTTGGAAGCGTATGGTCAAGTTGGTGTGAAAAGAAAATGAAATAATACATAGCATGAGAAGGGGGGGGAGGACAGATAACCGCCTTAAAAATACAATATGAAACCATTAATCATCCATCCAAAATCCATATTAAATACCTATCATCAGCACTTACAACCATAATAAATTAAAGAAAAAAAAAATCCATTAGGCATGTCCATTACATTTCTTATAACAGGGAAATTTCTTTATCCAAGGTAGTATGGTAAGAAAACTTTCTACTTTGTGAAAATATGTTAGAACACAGTTTGTCTTGAACTTGATTACAGATAAAAGTATATTGACATACTCTAGAAATCATAAATAATACCTAACTAAAACATGCTATATACAAGAGGCTCTATACATGGTAGTCTAGAACTTTATACAGGAAATGGTTGTATTAACTCTTTTCATTTCTTGAAAGAAGCTAGAAAACAGGAAATTGAAGTTGACTACTTGCTCTTGGAAGCCAGGTATGTTCAAGTTATGTGGTTTCTGATTTATGATTATGAGTTTATGTTTTCTCTTTTTTTCTTTGTTTCTTTTAAACATAAATAATACATAATTTACTACATAAACCAGGTTCAAAACAAAGCAACCTATAATAGCTAATTTCCTACCTAAACTAAAATCAAGTTCCTAAACCCCTAATCCCTATTGCATAATAATCATTAACAAAGAAATCAAATTGAATTTGATGAGATAAGGGAAAAAGGCCTAAAATTTGCATGAATATATGAATCTCATGGATCAGATTCATAACAATCATCAACAAAGAAATCAAATTGAACTCCATAATTTACCCCAAAGCAGAGAAAAACCTAAAATTCGCAATGTTGAATCAAACAAAAAAAAAAAATGGGGGAAAAATTTCTTACCTTAAAGTAGAATATGATGAGATAAGGGAAATGAGGGTGAAAGAGACCGGTGAGAGATTGATCCTCGAGAAATTTTGGGCCGTAGAAGTAGAACAGGGCTACCCTAAAACGGTAAAAACAGAATTGTAATGAAGGAAAGCATTCTGTTAGGGTTTATAATGCAGGATAGTCTTACGGTAATTCGAGTACCGTAATAACACAAGTTTTCATCATGATATTTTAAGTGTCGTATAAAATACTATATTCATTATGGTACTTAGATTACTGCAATGGTTCTTAACGGTAATATGGCTACCATAAAGGTTATTTTGGTCAAGAAAGCCTAAAATTGAAAAAAAAGGGTGTGGATGAGGTTTATGAAACTTAAGGGTTTTTTCTAATTGAACGAAAATTAAAATATATTTCTGATAATCTTTTTATAAAATATAAACCAACAATTTCAATTTCAGTATATAATATTATAGTTAGTTAGATTGTGATAATTTTGGATCAGTAAAGCGAATTAATAAAGGAAAAAGTTTATAAAAGGTTGCAACCTTAAAATGTAGAATTATAAATGCACCTCAAAAATCCATTAGAAAAGCTTGTTTTAATGTTGCAAGACCCTATAAATTGATTTTCTCGACATCGAGATATATGAATATGCAAAAAAAAAAAAAGATTTTGAGTTCCAAAAATAGTGCATCTTGCAATACATTATATAGACCGTTCATTTTCAAGATTTTCATATGCTTATGGATTTACTTTATTTTAATCATATTTTAAACTTAAAATTTTATAATTAGATATAAAAATAGATTTTGAGATAATCCTAAGAATTCTTTAAACCAAAATTATATATTATGATAAAATTTGGAAGTGCGTGTTAATTGGATTTTTTACAGTTGCAACCTTATAGAAACCACACCCATTAATAAATATTTGATACTTTGATGCACTAATAATTTCACTTTATATAATAAATTATTTTTTAATCTTATAATATGGAAGTGTTTTCTAATATTTTAAAATTATTTTGATGCAATATTATAAAACTATATTGTAATTAATAATTATACAGACATCTAGAAAGAAAACGACAACTCATTATTTACCTATTTTTACAAAATAATGAAAGTATATAATGCACCATTCTTAATTTCTTTTAAAAACTAAAAAACACTATTTTTAGAGATTTATAGTGATTTTTTGAAAAACATTTATGACAAAATTTACCGATTTGATCGATCCACCGATCCGACACAGGTATGGGTATGACCGATTCGTTTCACCAATTTACTTTTTTAAACACTGCCTAGACCCGAATATTATTCTGGTGTGAGTCCAAATCTAGCCGAACCCGACCCGTTGCCACCCCTAGGAGAGAGTTTAAAAGATATTATTTATCCTGCAAGGAGATGAAAGGATGGTTAAGAAAGATATGAGCAAAACAGAGATAAAATGATATCTAGAGTTTTATTATTTTGTCAGATTTGAGGATTGACCGTTGGAAAGTAAATGGGTAAAAATAGGAAAAAAAAATTATTATAAATTATTTTTTAAATTTTTTTTAATTTCTTTGATACTAAACAATTGATAGAAAGTTTTTATAAGAGACGAATTGACCGGTTCCGCGTATTTCATATCAATGTTTGAAAAATCGGCGACTCGAATGATGGTATTGTTGCATTGAATTAGAGATGGCTATATCCGTCCCACAAAAAACAGAAGCAAGTTTATATCCGTCGCCCAACCCAAAAAATAACATCTTTCAACTCATCTCTTTCTCTCTCTAGAAGCATGCTTATATTCATCCCACATCTCTCAAGAAGTAGGTTTATAATCTCACAGCTCAACCCAAAAAAATTAATTTAATACTATTAGGTAGGGATGGGTGGGCCATCAATAAGAGGGGTGAGTCACCTTATCATCGTACATTATAAATTCTATAAATAGATCTTTTTTTCTTATACAAGGATATCTATAAAATGATATGGTCTATAATGTTTTTTAAGATTAATTATTTTTATTTTTATTCTTATAATATACAAACATAAAGTATATATAATTAATCTTTAATAACATATAATTATAAAAATAAAATTTTATATAATAATTTACAAAAATTAACATAATTATATGAAATTGTTGTACTAGCTCATAGAATACTAAAAAAAGCAAAAAATAATACTAATACTAGTTTATTGAACATTAAAAAAAAAATAGTTTATGAGATATTTTAACAGAGAAAAATAACATTAACTTATACTACTTTAAAATTTATTTCAAGTTGCTTTATCAATTATCCCACATAGCAAATATGAATTTTGTTATTTATTTTTTTTAATTTTATTAAAATATGATTGTAAATTTATGTTATTAAATTCTATATTTCTATCAACACTAATTATTATACATTAGATTTATTTATTTGTGAGGGTCATACTCTTATTTTTTTAATCACGTTTATTATAATATTATAATTAATATAATGTAGTACCTTCTTATTTTTTATTGAAGTATTAAAAATAATATTTATAATAATTTTTAAAGCTGATCCAACCAATTTGATCCATTCCAATTTGATACAATCTGGATCGATTCACCGACCTGGATGGACTTTTGGGTGCTCAATCGGAGAACCTATTTTTTTAAACAATCGTTTCATACTGAAGTAGTCGATGACTGGCACTCACCGGTCCGAGTTTCTAAAACGAATTCATCCGAATTTTGGCCATTCCTTGTGGGTTTCCTGTTCTGTATTTCTCCGTGTCGCGCTGTGCTCGAACCAGTTTGGCGAAACCCTAACCGTGCATCGACTGCTTTTTTGTAACCAGTTTGGCCTTCTCGTCCTTATTTGTGCTCGCAAGCCAACTCTGGCATTCCTCCACTGCATTTGTGTGCCATTTCACCCCTTCTCATCACTCTCTAATTCCATGCCTTTTAATTGGAATCATTTACCCTAACTACACGATGAGGCTCTGCCAATTGCTCCACTCTGGGGTTTCCTCTGCAACTTTCTCTCGCCTCTTTTCTACAGCAAAGGCCAGGCCAAAGCCCAATCATGGGAGCTGCCCTCTCTCTACAATAAGTCCATTTCCAAGCCAAAGCCGAAGAAATACAAGCTTCCCCCTTTCTACGATCCCTTTGGGCCTAGACCTCCTCCCTCTGATAAAGTTATCAGTTTAGCTGATCGAATCGCCAATCTCTCTCCTGACAAGCTCAGGCAAGTTGGCCCTTCTCTTAGGGAGAAGCTTAGGGCACCTAAAATTCAAGAACTTGCTTCTGATGCCATGGCTTCCCTTCTGGTTCTGCTTCAGCTGCAAAGGTGGAGGAGAAGAAGGTTGAGAAGACTGCATTTGATGTTAAGCTTGAAAATTTTGATGCCTGGTGATCAAGGAGGTTAGGGCTTTTACTAATTTAGGGTTGAAGGAGGCCAAGGAACTAGTTGAGAAGGCTCCTGTTCTTCTGAAACAAAGGTGTACGAAGGAGGAGGCAAATGATATGATAGAGAAGATTAAGGCTGTGGGAGGGATGGCTGTGATGGGGTTTTTCTTTTCCCCTGTTTTCCTTTCCGACTGCTGATATGGATTCAGGTTGGTGAAACTTTTGGCTTTGTATCAAAAAAAAAAAATCCCATGAAGAAGCTTTTTGAGCTTTTAGTTTGATTCTTAACATTGTCTGTCTCTGTTTCTGAATGTAGTGCATTGGAAAGAAGCTGGAATCGTTATCGGTTTAGGAGTTACTGGGGATGTTGTAGGAGTTGCCATTGGATTCTTTGGCATTGGTCTGAATGCTCTATGAATATTGGTACTTCCAAAACTTTCGCTACTATACGCATTCTTCTGTACAATGGGCACCCTTGAAGCTTCCATTTCTGCTATCCTCAGGCCTATATTCACAATTCTTGCACACTCTGTCGTACTTAAGCTTTGCTGCTTGTTGCATGGGATTGCTTATCCTTGTTGCCTTACTCACTTCTCTTAATGTTCACCTATCACTGTTATGCTTGTTGCTCTTTCTCTTAACTCTAGGTTGCTACTTTTTGTCGATGCTGCTTTGCCGTTGGTGTATGCTTGTGACTTGTAATAACCTAAGCTATTTTTGAGGGAATTGTTCTTATGGTGGTGCTCTTCTGAATGCTAAGAGATTGAACCTCAGTTTGGATCATATTTTGATCAACATGTGATTGGCACACTAATAAAAGCTGTAAATTTGTGAGGTGGATGCCCATTGTTATTGTTAGTTTTCATCTCAATCACAATTCACAAAGTAGCAGCATTTTGTGGGTGGGTGGACACCTACTTGGGTTATTAGATGGCCCCCAAAGGTACTGCTCCAACGATGAATGTGCGTAATTTTTTGTTTTTCTAACTGTCTCTTGAGCTTGAGATCAGTACAAAGTTCTAGGCCTGTGGCGCATATTTCGTTGTCTAGCTGGCCTAATGTATAACTTTCATAAGGGATTTCTTTTCCCCCATTAGCATTCTTAAGCTTTGTTTTAAACTTTTCTCTAAACAAAGCAGGTAATCCATTTAAGAATTGGGATTTCCAATGGACATCCCTAGCATCATTTCTAGTAAGTAATTGGGTATGAAAAACATCTTTATACCATCGATAATGCGAGAGATCAGGGCACTTAAGGTTTTCTAAAAGCTCTCTAGTTCTTTCATTTCAGACAGAGGTGTCTCGTATGAAATGTAGGGCAATAGTATAGATCAAAGTATTAACACAATCATCTTGTTGTGAAGGTATTTCTTGTTTAACTCCTTGATTGTAGACAATACTAAGGGTTTGCTTTTTAGCAAATGGTATTTTTCTCATCTTCTCGTAAGTAAAAGTCCCACCATCCTTTTAACTGTCCTGTGAATCCATTGATTATGGATCTTGCAATATCAGGGTCTCTATTACCATGATTAGAAGATGCTTCTGCATACATTACCATATGTTTGATTAAATTCATTTTTTGGTATTCTTATAGAGCATCAATATTCCACTCAATGATGGATCTTCCATCATATTGAACTGCATTAGAAAATTTATCTTCTTCATATTTAAGATTGACAGGAGAAGGACGAGGATAGTACATCTTTGAAGTTGCAGTAGGCCTAGTTTTGGTTCCGTAGCTTATTCTATTAAGCTGGTCAGGATTATGGGATGCCTCTTTAAACATTTCTTCAAGTTTGAGGATTTCATCGTTACTAACATCTTCCAACATGTTAGTAGTACTTTCCTTTTCTTTTCCTTTTTCATTGATTTTTAGGGTAGCAAGTCTATTAACTAATTCTTCATAAAATTCATTTTTTTCTCTATGGGTTGGTCCTAACTTGATATTTTTATTAGAGATAGGAATAGCAGGTTTAAATAGAACTGTTTTAAGCTTCTCCTTTTCTGTAGAAGGTGGAATCTGGTTAGAGGTAGAAGGTTTATCCTCTAGATTTTTCTCTATTCTTGTAGCTTGTTGTCCTAAACTTTGAAGGAATAAATTTGTATAATTATTTTGCTCAATTATGTGATTGAGGCTCTCAAGATTGACAGGTTTTTGTAGCATTCCTTTTTCTTTAGGAGCATAAGTTTGTTTATAAGGAACAACTCTAGCTTTATTGATTTCGATAGCTCCTTCAGAAGGGTGAATACCTTCAGTTTCTCCATTTGGTGTCTTATAAATTTTTGCAAGTATGGCTACAGTAGCATGGTTCCTGGATTTAGGAGTGTACGAATTATTAGGAAATTTCTTGTTTTTAGAATTCATGTAATATTTTAGCCAAGTAGAAAATCTTATATTGATTTTGTTTTTTATCATAATCTTAATGTATTCACCATCAAAAAATTTTATCAGTGGTTTGCTAGATTAAGAAACCATTGTCTTACCTTTTTATTTTCTTCAGAATGAAAATCTTTTCTTAGAAGTTCATAATTAATTTTGAATTCTTCTATTTTGAGCATGTGGACATGTCCTTCAGGGATATTGGAACTAGAACTTCCCATGTCAGAGAAAGTAGGTTCTTAGGATCCTTCAGAATTTTCATCATTTCGAGTTGAGGGGATATCAACCTTGTAGGTAGGTTGAACAACTTGTTGATTTTTCAACTGATCAAGCCTTTCTATAATAATATCTTTTTTTTTGTTTTTTCTCTTTCATTTTCTGTTTGTGGAACGGAGGAGAAAGACATCCTAGGGGGCTGTCTAGGCATCCTAGGGGGCTGTCTAGGAATTCTGTTTTGATCAAGAAATGTCGTGAGCAAAGGTGAAAATTGTATTTTTACCTTTCCTTCAGCATATTGAGTTACTTGACTGATATTTTGATTTTGGATTGGTTTAGGTTGAACAACACAAGGTAAAATCGATTTTTCAGGTAAGTTAACCTGATCCCAGCAAATAGCCTTGGGGGTAATTAAATTTGATTTTTCCACATTTGTTTGGAAAAGAACAGTTTGGCCTTTAGTATCTATTTTCCTAACATTGGGACAAATAGTAGTCATGACTTTATAACATACTCTATATGTGACGGCTACATTTTGTGACCCAACATCCATGTCGAAGCCATTTGTTGACAAATTTAATGTTAGGACTTTCATGATATGAGGATCAAACAGGGAAACAGAAAATCCTGGAAAACAGTTGAAATAAACTGGTCCTTCACAAATGCTGGATTCTATGGCTCCTAATGAGGAATCCATAAATTTTCTGTCTACCATCTCTGAGACAAAGAAGGATAGCGGTTTGCAACCCTGTTCTGGTTAAGGGTTTAATTCCTATTTGAACCAAACCTATGTGAAGATAATTGTATTTTCTTCATTTGAAATCCTTAATCCGATCTTTGGTTAATAAATTTATTGTGGTTTCAGTAACTAATACTGATACAGTGCCGATGCATGTTTAGGGGAGCTTACAGATGAACCTAAAAGTTTTGACTGAGTTGTCTTTTGGCTTGATTCTAAGTCACTACGGTTGTCTGGTTTGAATATGAAATGAAGGTCCAATATTAGTTCTTGGTTTCTATGCTTCTTTGCTTGATTCTGTTTTTTTGAATTTTTTGTATGTAATACTAAAGAATGTCACTTGGTCTTAATTTGGTTCTCTTTTGAAAGAGTATTCCAATTTTCTGAAAAGTTTTAGATGACATACATAAAAACCCTTATTTCAAAGCCATCATCTGAAAGTTACAGCTTATTGGAAATTGTTCATTCATCTTAGCTATTCAATAGCTGATTTGATCTGGTTCAGTGTCTTTCCAAATCAGTATGTAACTTCTGGATTTGATTATTACTTCTTCTGTGCTAGTGGCGTAGTAGTTGAGCATTTCTATTAGTTCTTGCTGCTTCTATTGCAAGCTCTAATTCTTATCTGGTTACTGAGGTTCACTTTTTCATTTTACGTCTTTGAGCAAGGGTCCTTGAATGCATGAAATACATATTATAAATAGCAGAGTCTACTCAGATGGAATAGTCCGGCTTCACTGCAGATCTCATAATTGTTTTTTTCCTTCTAAATTTAGGATATGGCTTTTCTCCATACTGTTTATGTTAGGGGAGACTGGAATAAACCAGTACAGTTTGTAATTTTAACCAAGGGGCTTTGGTTTTTTGAGCACCCTACAACACAAAAAATGATATAGAGCAATTTCTTGCACATGTTTATGAGGCATTCACTTTCGTGCCAAATTTTCAGGTACTCAATCCCAGTTTGCACTCGGAAACCCAGACAATACCGACCTAAGGTGGCAATAGGATACTTCTAATGAACTTTTAGATGCAATAGCTTTTGGGTGGAAGATTCTAATGCTCAATTTATTTTGTCATGTGTATGTAAAGTTCGTAAATATAGAATAATATATTTTATACGGGGCAATGTGGATTGATTTTACTGGATTTTCATAGAGATGTGGTAGCTTTTGTTTGTTTTATAGTTTGTATTGCTAGTGATCAGCAAGTCTACATTGCAGGCTTACAAGGAGTTCCTGGTGCTACTGCTCATTATAAGTTATTAAGTGGTTATAGTTTGCTGCTTGACATTCAATTTTCTGAAGTCAAGAATCTCCTTTCTGACGTAAGCTTTCTGTTTTCGCTCTTAGAGAGGATGTGTATATGTCCTAGATGGGGCTTGTGTTTCCCAAACTCTACTTGTGGAAACAATTTCCTTCATTATGTCAAGTGTAATATCTCTCTCTTTTTCCATGGAAGATCAATCTATCATAGCATGATTGGTGGGTGGGTAAGCAGTAGAAACACATGCATGAGTATTTAGCACATCATGTTATCTTAATAACCAATATAACTGCTAACTTGTCATATCTTGAGCTCTCGTGTATGTCTTAATGGTTCGATGTAGGTGATGTGATTAGACCTTGGGATAGGGAGCAAATTTCAGATGAAACCTGTGCATGAAATACAATGACTTTGAAGTTGGAATGTTGTAGGAAATGACTATCAGGTTGGTATATCCAGGGGATGCAATGGCTACAAGGTTAGTTCAGTGGTTCATCATAGGCGATGCGACTGAGACAAGGAAAGGCATTTACACGAAACCTTACATTGAGTATACTGACTTAGAGTTCGTATGTTGGGAAGGTTGGGTGATTATGACTCTGGTATCTTTAGGGATTCATGGGTACCGTATGAGACACCAGAGATCTAAGGGCCAAGATTTTAATAATGGGTGTTACTGAGAGCATTAGGAGCCCATACAGATTGTTTCTTATGGCAGGTCATCTTAGCAACATATAACTTTTTCCTTACATAAAGGAATGGGATTTTCTGGTATATCAAGCATTTGTATTGCTTTGTAATGTGGTTGGAGTGGTTGTTGGT